ATCCATTCTCGCAAATCTGAAATGGCATAGGTCATTCTACAGTAGTTATTGCATCTCCAGGCTTAAGAATATCACAGTTAAGGTACAACTGGGTGTCGTCTGCATATATGTGATAGCCAACTTGATGATATCGTAGTATAGCACCCAAGGGTAGTGTGTACATGCAAAATTTAATCGGTCCAAGAACGCTGCCCTGTGGAACACCAAAAATCATCTGCTCAAGATCTGAAAGTACACCGTTGATGGATATCTGCTGTGTTCTACCAGTAAGATAAGACCGTAGGAGAGACAACGCCTTGTCCTTAATTCCAGCTGATTTCTCGAAGAATGATAGAAGAGTGTCATGGTCAACTGTATCAAATGCTGCTGAAAGATCTAATAGCACCAGTAAGACTGCAGAATGATTGTCAACACCAGTCAGAAGGTCATTTTTTATTCTCAGAAGAGCAAGCTCAGTGTTATGTTTTGCTTTATAAGCCGATTGCATTTGTTCCACCAAGTTATTCTGTTTTAGATGGTCAAATAGCCTCGTTGCCATTACTGTTTCAACCACCTTTGACAAGAAAGAAAGATTACTCACAGGTCTATAGTGATTAAAGACATTATGATCCAAATTATTCTTTTTCAGAAGAGGTTTGATTACTGCACTTTTGAATGAGTCTGGAAATATTCCCTCTTTAAAGCATAAGTTCACCAGTTCTGTGATAGGATTTATGACAGTTGGTAGAATCTGGGTCAGCAATGTTGTTGGGATGGGGTCTAAAGAACATGATGTCTTTTTTGAACTCGTAATGATTTTTGAGACTTCGGTTACAGTTGTCACACTGAGATTATGATGAGCCTAGAGATTTCGATCCATCTATTATATTCACTCTGTTCATCTTTTCATGAATCACCGTTGACTTCCTATAATTGTCAGTTCAACTGCGAAAAGACATGCCCCCTGCTTCAATATAAAAGGGATCTAAATATTAGTAGCAATGTTCAGTAGAATGAAATAGAAAGTCCATTTTATTACTTCCGACAAGGAAGTAATGTTTGTGGTCCCGCAAGTTAGTTACATATAGTTAGCTTTTGAGTCTATCTGTTAGAAGTATTATGCAAAAGAAAAAAAAAGAAAAAAAAAACAAAAAAAAAAAAAAAAAAAAAAAAAAAAGGACGGATTTAGACGAAATATTCAGGGTAGGTAACAAATGGACCAAGGAAGATCTGATTAGATTTTGGGGATGGCACGGCCTACCACTGAGGCACAAGCAGTGATAATTACGTCTTTGGCCTATTTTAGTGGGGCAGCTCGTAGACGTATTTTACAAGCTGTGTCCTGACCTATTGCACTAACAGTAAGGCCATGTAGACATTGATTGATTACCTTGGCAGGGCTAAGAATGAATGTCAGAGGTCTGCAACTCTGTAATTGCTTTTCTAGTTTTCTTATATTATGACTAAAATTTATAGAAATATTCATAAATTTTAAGATGTAATATGAATTAGCCTGGTATTGAACTCTAGGGCGTGCCTTACTAGAAACGGCCGCTATACCCGTGTATGAGACTATCAATAAAAGAAAGGAAAGCCTTTGCGGGGAATATATTTCCTTCGATTGAACATATGCCAGATTAGATATGTCGCAGCTGGCTTAGAAGTGAACATTCTATGCCAAATAGTTGTAACATGCATTTGTTTTTTTGGCTCGACATCATGAAGCTAATAATACACCGTAAACCATTACCACAACCCACGACCAACTGTAAGATAACAGCTCATTTCACTGCTTGAACGTGCCGTGCAGGAACGCTAGAGAAAATATGTAAGCTGCTCGTGGAACATTAATAGCTTGCCCGTGCTGCAGGTGTAACGCTGCAGTCGGTGGATTTCGCAAATGGAGAAAGCCTGTCGAGGCAGAGATCTTTTACGCGGATCCACACCAATGTTCACCAGTTAAACTGGTCTTTATGTGTCCTTGGATTTTTTCTTTGAGCGCCTTTACGTAAATCGGACACGAACCATGGAATTTCGGATTGCGTTTTACGAGGTATAAAATGTGTCATTACATAAACAGAAAAAAAAAACCTTTCATTACACCAAGTTGTGTGGGTGAGTTTCATTCTCGAATTAATGTCGAACTGATTGTTTTAGTCTGCGCTGTTCCAACTGGTTAAAAAAAGCTTAAAGGTGCCGCTCGTTTGGGGTTCTTGTTTGTTATTAAACGCTTGCCACCGGCACGCGCTTCTGTTCAAATAAGCAACCAATTGAAGGTGATTGGGCTTCAAAGCTGCTCTTCAGATTAATTCCTTAAGCGACAAACAGTAGGAGAAAGTCTGTGAAAAGTTTCAGCTTTACATTAAAGAAAACTTAAGCACGGGCCAGCACGAAGGTCGTTTGAGCCTGCAGAAGAGGTGTCCAAAATGTTTCTTTCGCGTTTGTGAAAAAAAAGAACAAAGAAACGCCAAATGCAATTAAGACTCACATATTGGTTTAAAGGCAACATAACGATTTGTTACGTTTTTTTTTTCTGTATGCTTTCTAGATCTGCTCAGTGAAATAAACGTTTTGTAAAGGGTGAAATCTGAGAGAAATTACGTGAAGACGTGCTGTTATTCCCCCGATGAAAGCATCCATCTCGCTCTAATTTAAGATCCGGAAAGCACACTGTGTATTTTAATAGAGGACCATGATGTGTAGAATGCAATGAGAATACCGCATTACTGAAACGATTTTAGTATACACCTAATCTTGAGGAGGTTAAGAAATCCTAACACCTACATGTACCGGTAACATAAGACTCCAGCATAAAAAGATAACCTTTAAGATGCATTTGAAGGCATTTATTTTATTATTATTTTTTTTTGCTACAAAAGCCGACCAAATACCACCATGTACCTGTAGTTTCTAACACTAGAACTTGGACAGTGTTGCTGTGTTCTATAATATAAGTAAATGAGAACATGCTCGTTTACTTGAATCACAGTTTACCACCGGGACAAAATTCTTCCCACCATCACGATATATTCATAAATAATAGAACAAATCACGCTAAAACCCCATGCACCTTAATAGAAACATTGTATTCTTCTCTCGGTGGCACATTAACCAAAATCATACTTGACAACCCTTTTCGGGGTTTCTTAATGAAATGAAAGAGCACTAAGTCGGAAAGATAAATGGTTCCGGTTAAATCTCAGCTGATTATCAGCTTTTTAAGACACAGAATAAGGAAATAAAAGAAATCGAAAAATGAGAAAACGCGAAATTGATTCAATCCATCATAAATTCCTTCCTTGTTAGACTCTGCGCCGTACTTCACCAGTGGCCACCAGGCTGGATGAACGTGGCTGAATTGATTTGATCTTATTAAGCTTTCCGTATCGCGTCCCGCTGAGGACGGTCATCGATGCGTGATAAGTGGACGGTGAACGGATAAGGGGAAAACACGCCGGCGTTGATTCTAATGTCATCTGTTCGGGTTTCTCTCAGAGGAGGCGATAGAGAAAACACATTAATGCTCTTTCTAAATGTCGTATATGTGTCCAGAAAACCACTGAAATGCACTAAAATAAGCCCATAACCGTATATCATAATATTGGCCAATCATGTCCATGATCATGTTAATTTTCCATATAATTTATTGTATAACTGTGTATTCATTTCAAGAATTGCTGTACATAAATTGTATTCAGTGGGTAGCATTTTGGAGGGAATATTACGTACCCTTTACCAGGGCCACAGATTGATTTTTTTTACCAGATATTTACAGATGTGTCTCTAGATAAATGATGGTATTTTTCTGCCCTGTGCAAGTCAGATAAAAGTGCACGCAATTATCTGCGACCCTGGTAGATCGTACTTATTTTGGGTCGGGGTGAGCAGAAATGTGGAGATGCTTAGTACAAAGTTCAGCGAGGAAAGCCAGTGCTCAGTGAATGGTCAATTGAGGTCAGCGTGTCCTTCTCGGGTCAACTGCAGTTGCAAAGGGTGGATAAAATTGAGTCAGCCAAGATTTACGACGAATCAACTCATTTCTGAGAGAGCAGAGGCCTTTGTATAAAAGCCAGTATATTCAGCAATTTTCGTGTAATTTTTCATAGAGCTCCCCCCCCCCTTTAATTGACACAATTTCAGAAATGACATCGAAACTAGAACAAATTCATATCCAAAGCGGACTTTTGTCGATCTAAAAGGTGGTTCATTTGACGCTCTCGGGTCTCCATTACTACCCCTTGCCTTCTGCCCTGACGTCAAATGTTATTAAAAACAGGAGATAAGGAACCTTATAAAAAATAAAAAAAAAAAAAAAAAAAAAAAAAACAGGTTCTGTGAGCGTTCGTCCTAAGTACAAAATCCAGCAATTTTCAACGTCACAAACACCCCGCCACGTTAACATGCGTCTTGGTTATTGCCAGCAAAAACATTGCAATCATCGTTGGAAAGGTTCTTTTTACCGAACAATATGACCTTTTATGAGCATTCTCTGTTAGATGGTCGATCTGATGCATCAGCCGCGTTTATAAGATTTATTAAATACACGCAATGCAATTCAATCCTTTATAAAGCAAATGGATGAGTTTTTCTCGATATTTCAGCGTTTTTCCTTTAATCCCCCATGGTACGCCATATCCAAACCCACTGAGAGAGATACATGTATAATCCATAAACTCGTTCTCTATTTCTACATTTCTAATGCGTATTGACACTGGAAGTCACCAGTCTGTATCTTCATTAAGCGATAAGCTATGAAAGTGGTTTCGGATACGGTCTACCTAGACTCTAAAAGAATCAAGGCAAAGAAAAAAGTTTCCAGGAACATTGAATTTCCTGATAAAAAAATCTCCCAGCAAACACAGAACGATTTGTAACATTACAATTAATTTACAGTAAGTTTATATATATATATATATATATATATATATATATAAACGTTATGTCAACGTTATAATAACGTCCAGTGTTTGCTTGGCTGACGCCTATTGCGTGTATTCAGGTTTCTATCTAATAACACTTACCGTCCGTGGGGTAAGGCTTATTCAGGACAGTTGTCGCACATTTGAAGTACGCTGCTTTCAACCCAGCCACGTCATCAACGGTGTTTTCGTATTGTCTGATCACGGCAGGGGTCTCGTCCAGTGACGGCTGAGCCTTGGCTGTACCACTGACAACAACATTGGCCACATAACTGTCATTAGTTTCTGAGCCGCTGCTTGTGTCGTACCTTGTTTCGTTTTTCGTTTTGTACATCGTCAGGTGAGATAGTCATGTACACACCACAATTGAATCCGGTATTTTTCTTTAAAAAAAAGATAAGTGCTGCTTGATAAACGTTAATGTTCTGCTAGTTTGGCTCCTCTTTTCCAAGATTGTACATTCACTTGTTTAGGAAAATTTTATACCGTCTTGCACGTTGAACACTAGTTTGCAGTGTCGTTTCGTTGAGTTCTTTCGATTGTGTGGTGTACAGAAGCGAGTTTTAGAGGTCCATACTCCTCCAGTCTAAAAACAAATATGTATTAGAACTGTGGAGCCCATGCGCATGTAATAGTCCCCGTAGACACCCATCCTGTTCGTATAATGGACTGACATGATATAACTAACTGCGTTTTTCTCTGATCGTCTGTCCGGGGAATTGAGGATGAAGATCGAAATTGTCTTAAGTCACTGTTACAATCCAGTGTGCACTTTTTTCATCCAACTCAATCAGCCTTCTGGTCTCGTCAAAGTCAGCTTCGTGGTTTGGTTGAAATGCGCTCAGGTAGCATACTTATTGGTTTCTTTTTTTTATGCCGTCGATTTAAAATCGAGGAAGCGGAAGTTAATGAGGCTACCACAGCGAGGCTACAATGTACGAGCGATTCCAGTCGCTCTTCTACATGCAGATACACTTCTTGGCTAACTGTGTATGTACTTGTCCTGACAAGGCCTCAGAACTCTGAAATGAAAACCACTAAGGTCATATGATAACGCATTTTCTGCCTGTACCACACTTAATCGAGCAGTCTGTTCTTTTTCCATAACTCATAACCTTTACGAGGATAAAATCAATTCCCGAGAGTGTGAATGGCATGTGACCGGAAAATCAGCATTTTGATTTACGGCTCTTCTCGAACAAGTGTAAAACTCATCCAGTAACTAATCGCAAAAGTTAATCAATATGATGTCTTTTTCAATATGAGTTTAAGTAGCTCCGATATTAACTTAAAATTTTCGAACACGTTACGTCTTCAATAATGATCATTTTAATTCTCATAAAACGTGCTTTTCGACATGATGATGCATTCAAATATTTGTGTGTATCAGTGGCACAACAATAACTTGAAAAATATCATAAATTCATTATGTTTGATCCCATAACTAATTACTACATGTCTTCTGCAAGACGTGGATAAGAGCTCTTCTCTTCACTAAGATGAGTTAAAATAGTGATGTCTTCTGTTAGCCGCATAAAAGTACATCATACGGACATGCACAATTTTCCTGATTAAAACTACCGTGCAGCGGTCTATTAGAATGCTGTGCGTCAACTTGTCAAGAACTGTTTGCTGTCAAGTTCCATTATGAACAAGTTGTTTTACCGGGCAACACGAGGCCGCCCACTGCCATGTAGTGCTGTTTGTTGAAAATTAACTGGACAACAACGAAGATGTATAATCTGCAGCTGTCAACGACAATTTTTCAGTTATAGATCACCGGAAATAAACTCTCTTATTCCTCGATCAAAAGTGTAGAATTATAATCACATTTGCCTGGTGCAAACGTTACGATAATAAATAAACAAATAAATATGAAAAGTAAATAAATAAATAAATAAATAAATAAATAAATAATACTGAAGACAGTTTTGTTGCCTTATTTGAGATTGCAGTGTATGAGAAATACTCGTTTACCATTTGACTCGAACAGACGCAGTAATCGATTACGTAATAGTTCTCAGCTGCTTTGAACCTTTTACGCGTCATAACCTTATTAGACTATATGGTGTGCTTTAAGAGGTTTAGCTAATTTTAACACGGTCGAATTCACGTTGCAAAATTGCTGTAAAAGCTAATGGGTTATATTCATAATTGTAAAACCTATAAAAGTGTCTCGGCGACGGTTTCATTTAGCATAGCCGTCACAACTGTATCTAAAAATTTGATAAGTTATTTCGCTTGTCTATTGCCAAAACCCTCAAAAAGAAGCGTGCGCTCTGAGACGCTTAAAGTTGCAATATTGATGCCTTAAGTGCTGTGGGGGGTCCAGTGGATTTTTGGTAGCAACTGGTACATAACGAAACCAATTATTGGGAAGACACTTGGGACATTTTGTCTTCAATATATTCATTTTCTTAATCCCTGTACCTGAAGCCGCTGGGGTATTGACATATTCTGCTGATTCATGGTGAAATTATTTACACTCCATTCTTGACAAAAATGAATATACTGTATTCAGTGATACCTTATTGTGAAAATAAATAAATAAATAAATAATGTTTCTTTAAACATTCTTTCGTGTGCGTGGAACATCGATCTTGATCAGTCCCTTTTGCTACATGTATGAACTCATTAATCAAACTATAAATGCCCAATTAATAAAACATTCATTTTAACACCTTTACCTTGAACCGTTTTCTTACTATCTGTGCATTATAAAAAATGATAGTATGTATCATTAAGAAAAAGATTAATCTACGGACCACAGCAAAAGGACATGAATCACAAGCGAAAAAAAAAAAAACTTTAGTGGAAAACGTGCCTGTGAGAGGTCGTGGCTCTTATTGCAGCTGAGAAAAGCTTTCGGTTTATTTCCCTGGATGAAGAGAACACGGCAAACTACAGTCTGACTTCAGGCACAAAATACACATGGATATTTTGTGTCCTTGGCCAGACAGTACGATAGACTCACGCTAAGGGACAGAATGTCGGTGCCACGTGCGGTGTTTCTAGTATGGGACCATTCCCAGACCTGATCGTACTGTGGGTGGATCTATCTATCTCCGAGGGGATTCTCGCTAAATTGCAATCAAGTTAAGCTGCTTGGATATCTGTCACGCGTACTGAATCTGCTAGGGAGTAATTAATTATCGCTTAGCAGCTTCAGTAGTGCCAGACGTCTGAGACGCTTGAGCTGAAGGCAATTTAGCGAGATGGATTAATCCTATTAGATCGATCTAGGTAAGGGAGCCCAGTCTATGACCCCATTCCCAGAGCTTAGATCGATCCAACTAGATTGACCTAACTCCGTGGGGGTTCACGCTAAATAGCTGTCAGCCGAGCGGGCACGAAAGTTAATTACCCCCTTACAGTTTGTAGTAGGCGGGACGGACATTTATGCCGAATTATCCGACAGTAATCTAGTGAGACTCCCCACGGGGACAGATCGAACTAAACATATGGGAATGCGCCCTATGGCTTTACAATGATACATAGCAGTTATATTCTATGACGTATGTTTATCTTTATGTTACTGATTGGATGCAACCCCTGCTACTGGGGGGGGGGTATGTGGTTGCAATAAAGAACTCTGAGAGATTCTGTTTTTTTTTTCAGGAACAAACAAAAAGCATACGATAATATAGTATGGTGGAAAATTGTAGACGGATGTAAATTGACTATCGAATGTCGAGCACAGGGCTGGGAAGATTCCTTGGTTTTGTCTTGTGACGCTTAATTCAACTGTTCTGCTGGTTTGGAGAGAGGGAGAAATGGGAACGAGGGGGGATTCTCCCAAAGCAAAGTGTAGGGGCACACAGCCCACTGCCCCCCCCCCCCCCTCACACACACACACACACCGAATCTTCCATTGGAGTACAGTGTAGACTACAAACCAGCTTCCTTTTTTAAAGTTATTTTCACAGTTGTTCCAATGCGATTTTTAATCAAATAACTCCGTAATTGTGATACTATTTTCACAAATACTATCAATTTCCTTTCATAAAAACACCTCCGTCGCAGGCATAATAGGGGAGGTATGTCTTCTAAGGTAGTTGTGTTATTAAAGCTGGTGCACGGTGACTACTTTTTTTGCCGACAAAGGATTGATATTAACGGACATATTAGCAGTGGCATTAAACTATAATGTTAAATACACATTAGGGCGACAAAAATAGGTTCATCTGCAAACACTGATTATTTGCAATTCTTTTTTTTTTTTTTTTTTGGGGGGGGGCGCAACACTTAACGCACAAGCTTTGTACTACATTGTGCGTAATGTTACACAAGCCCTTAATGTGGGAAATGTGGAAATTGTGGCTATAAAATCTACCACCCTGGTAGAGGGTACTTAATGCGCAAGTGTACAAGAGAAGACAAAAAAATAATTAAGATGAATGAATGCGTTTCATAATAATGCACAGTCGATCGTTATCTCCACAAAAATTAGGCAGACATTTACACCAGGGGAGTTTTATTGTACCATGGGAGTCTGAATTTGTCTTTGAAGTGGGTAAAAAGCATTACTTATAGTATGGGTCAGTGGGTCCGTCTTGCGCCATTTGCCTAATGGTTGTAACATTCCTATTAGCTAGGAAGGGACATTATATACGCTACTATGTCTCTTATTTCCATTGTAGTAAATATTGAAACGCGAGGCCTGGGAATCGAGGTAAAGCACAAATGCTGCCAAGATTAAAGGGTTATCGTGTACTTGTGCCTCACGGGGGATTATTTTCCACACTTACAAGTACGAAGAGATTTCGAAGTGCAATGAACTTTTTTACTCACTGGTTCTGTGTGCCTCTGTTAGTAGATCTCAAGTGATTTTTTTTACGGGATCATGCCTACTATCTCAACCATGCTAAAATTAGGCGCTTATAGATTGCTAATCTATGGGCGCATTCGGATTCACACGGCGTACTAGCTGGGTCGGTCCAACTCTGCATGGGATTTTCGCTTAAGTGCAATCAGCGGAATCCGCTTCTGTTCGAGGAAGTGTGACAGATAATTTTAATTTTGATTGCACTTAAGCACAAATCGCCCGCAAAGTTGGGCAGACCCAGCTAGTACAAGTACGATGCGTGGATCTAAATGCGGACTTTGGCTACGTACCCTTGAAGGAAACAATGCTGTACAGAAACCACGTCAACATATTCCCCTATATGTGATGTAAAAAAATAAGCTTTATTTTTCTCAAGCTCTCGTGCATTTGTCTAATTGACTACTCCAGGGCAAAACATTGCTAGTAATTACTTTATTTTCCCCTCTACCATACCTCTGACGAAACCTTTGTTCCTCGAGTGACATTAAATTACAGAATTGTATGTGCCAAAGATTCTAAGGTACCTGGTTGGATAATACAGGAGAAGGTGTTACACGCAAAAGGAAGATTTTTCTCTTGAGGCAAATGTCAACCGATGTTCAACCTTGGACGAATATTCGCCCAAGGTTCAATTTCGAGTACGATTTTCAGCTCTCCCAACCCCGCAGCCATTTTTTCTATTTCCTCCCCCTACCTTCTTAAAGTGTGTTATTACAAGTCTGCATAAGTATCACGAGCAGAAATTGGAAGTGTGACAATACGAACGGGAGAATAAGTCGGGCAGATAAAAAACTGAAGAACATAACCTAATAGTAGGACGCCGTCCAATATACTAACGCTTAATGCAATAACAAGATACATGTATATATTACAGTGAACATGCATTCGTGGCACTCTGGCAGCATTACAGGCAGTTACTCTCCCCTTTGAATAATGAAGATGTATTAAAGATACACAATGTGGCATACTGTGGTACACCTTGACATAACTTAATAAAATTTCAACACTTTCTCTTAGTTCTCCAGGAACTGCATAGGCAAAAATGGTCTCAGAATATCGACCTAATGATCCGGTTGAAAGCTCTAATTTCTTAATGTTTGGTCAGTTCCCTGATGCAGGGGCGGATCTAGGATTACTGGAAGGGGGGAGTCCAGTTTTTAGGAATAACAGGCCGCGGATGCAAAGCTGATTCTGCCC